CCACGCACGGCTTCAAAACAGTTCACAGGCCCAATGGCGGGTTCCAACGGGCCTGCTCCAGGAAGGCCGCCTCTTCCTCTGACAGCCTGGGAAGGGTTTTCCCGCGGCTTCAGATAGCTGCTGAAAAATAACTGCTCTCACCGGCTGACTCTCTAGAGGTGGCCACGACATCTGGGTTCAAGGTCAAAATTAAGACTCTAAAAAAAAGTTTTATGAAGACACTTTGTTCCTTTGGCGCATCCATGGAGCATCACAAAAGTAAGTGTGCCTGATCTAAGGTCTCCAGCGGCACCTTGGTGGGCACTGCAGAATAAGAACCAAACAGAGAGGGTGGCTCGTGAGATGCACGTGACCATCGCAGCTGTCATCAGGGCTCTTGCCTACCTGCACACAGCTCTGCCTACATTCCTTCAGTGCAAACAGACTTGGTTCTCTCAAAATCTCAACCAGTTGATCAAATAAATAACTATAAAACTTCTAACAGTCACAGGCAGATCCAATGTTTTGCCCGTGAATCTCTAAGAGCTTGCTGTGAGTACAGCTAGCACTTAAATCCTTAAACACAAAACCACAAAACTGGACACCCTGGCTGAAGCTGAGCCGGGGCGGCAGTGGGTGGGGGGTGGGTTGAGGGGTTTTTGCTGCAGCCTGATTTACACAGCAAGCCTACACTTTGGGTATCTCATTCCTAATTAACCCTAGGAATGCCAATCCTATGATGGTCTCCCTATGAGCCAGGAATGGTGGAATAACAGCTAAACACAGCTGGTCTGTCTGAAGAAGGAAGAAAAAACTCCCAGAGTAAAACATGATGAAGCAAAGATAGCATTTTAAATTCTTTTCTATGCTCTGAAACCTTACAAGACAAGATACTGTCTCAAAAGACTTAATGAGAAGGTTTTGTTTGTCCTCACCAAATAAAAATGTCACATTTTCTTTGTGGAAGCATGACAAGATAAACTGATCAAGATTTTTAAAAAATTCAAATATACTCTAGTGCATACCACTGAGTACAAGATGAGGTTGCTGGTGTCTTGTTCTGCAGTGTGAATACCAGGAGCAGGAGACTGCTAGGCTCTGGCCAGAGCTCCATGGAGGGCAGGAGGAAGCCAAGGCTTATGGCTGTGTATCTGTACTCAAATATAGAGATTAAAAAATGCTAAAAAGAAAGAAAGAAAGAAGAGCACACAGCTGCCGTCCCCCAAACAGACCTCCCATCTGCCACCCACGATTTGCATGTCACCTTCTCCGGGCTCATTTGTACTTCATTAACTGCCATTGACTTAACAAGATTTATGCAAATGACACCATAGGAGCTCCCTAACTCCCACTGCAATCAAGTGATTATGTATGTACAACTCTCCACAGCAATGAAAAATTAATACGTGACAAGCCCACTCGCTGCTGAGCCAGGCCTCTGGCTTTTATTTTTCTTGCTTTGCTTTTTAATTTTTACTCGAATAGATCTTATCTTATTAGCAAAAAAAAAAAAAAAAAAGGGAAACAGAACTCTGAACCAATCTCCTCCAAGACCCTAAAAATGACAAAACATGCAAGGTGAACCCAGGTCCACAAGAAGTGAAGTTATAGTCCAAAAATCAGTCATAATCTTGATGAGGAATCCTTAATTGGGGAAAAAAGAAAGAGATAAAGTCAATGACTACCATGATTCAGCTAGCTCCCACATTGCGGGGAAAAATCCTTGGTTCTTACAATGAACAAGTCATGGGGTGAATGTGAAACATGGTTAAAATAACCCACTGGAATGTGCAAAATCTGTAAAAACAGGGCTTAGGCTGCAGAAAGTGTTGATCACTGCCTTGCCTGGGTCCTAAACCATCCGTTACAAGATTCCTGTGGGGAGAAAAAGAGCCTGCAATGATCAAAATAGGGGCTAGTCCAAAAACCATGGCCATTAGCAACTCCATGAAGGCCGCTGAGATTCTAAAATGATTCCTCTACCATTAGGCAAAAGGTCCATTAGCCAGTGTGTGGGGCTTCAATCACGCAGACGGAGTCTTTACCACGGGCTGAGCACTAAGACAAAGTACTCTGCTGCTGGTGAGAAGGGCAGAGGACACGCATGTGGCTAACAAGATCAGGACGGGAATGAGATGACCCCTCCCACCCTGAGAACAGCCGAGCGTGGCTGCATGATCCCTGGAGAAACATGTTGCTGCAGGCAGAGTCTTAGAACTTTCTTTACACAGTCATAAGATATTTTTGTCTGAGGTCAGGGTTCACATGTTTAATATAAAACACCTAACTTTGCTTCCTAGGCTTTCTGAAGACTTTTCATCAATGGACAGTGGAAAGAGCAGATGCTGGGGCAGAGGGATCTGGTCTAAACCCTGGTCCCATCTCTTCCTAGCTGCCAGGTCTAGAACCCTCATCCTCTCTGGGTTTGAATTAAAGTAATTGTAACAGCCATCGCAATTACGGTGATGTTGAGAATTAAATGGGATGCTATGTGGAAAGCACTTAAATAATAAACATTCATTTAAGTGTTCATTTATTCAACAAATCAATTTGTTGAGTTTCTAGAATATGTTGGGCAGGTACTACCCCTTCAGACTCTGTCCCCTGCAATACTCTCATTTCATTTCCATGTTGAAGTCATCACACTGGGAGGGTTAGGAATTCAGACTATCTTGAATGATCTATGTTCCTTTAGAAACACAGGCACACACAGGGGTGTGAGATAAATGGAGACAACCGTCTATAGGCCCACATCAATCAGCACGACGCACAGAGAGGCTCTGAAAAGGGTGCCCTGAACATTACTAATTTAAAAATCTGGTTTTGCTATAATTTACAAATCCTCTGTGGAATCTCCACATCTAAGTGTTTCAAGGGATTCAGACATCATCCGATTCCCCCATTTTACAGATGATGCATCTGAGGCCTGGAACAGTGCAATTTCACTAGACCAGGTGTGGAGTTCAGAAGAAGCTTTTCTTTGGCTGCACATGGGGGGTGATTAGGAAGGACAAGGAGCTCCCTGTGCTCCAGAGTCACTGGGAAATCGGACTGTGATTTAGATTTCAACGAGATTATTTTGAACACTCACAATCAAAAGGATTCCAAGGACTAGATAATACTCATTTTATGCTTGATGGTCAACTCCAATCTGCACACATTGAAAATCTAGCCTATAAAGCTAGCCTTCTCCATAGAGGGGTATTTTAATCCATAGCAGGGTACAAATTAAATGAAGGTTCCAATTACACAGGGGTCCGCCTGGCTCGCACAGAGGGGCTCCTGCCATGTCAGTGAGCACTCCCACCCAAATCAACAATGGACAGGAAGTAAGGCTACCGTCTGTTATTAAGTTTTAATATTCCCAAAAGTAAATGTTTCTTAAATGAAAAAAAAGTTAAATAATTTTAAATTCCAGTTGAAATAGCATCTATAACATAAAAGGTATTTATTAAAATAAACTTATGCAGAGAAGTAGGTTATAAATAAATGCACAAAGAAAAAATGAACAACTATGTGCGTGGACTTCTAAAGTAAAGAAGCAGTTGTTCAGTGATAGCACCACCCATCAGCAAAGCAGAAAGTTGTTTCCTTTTTGTTTTTAAAAATATGGCGGCAAGAAATTTCTCTTAAAGGTAGCCCAGATCCGAATGTGTGTTTTACATAGAGGCTCCATGTCCTTGGTTACTACCTTCAGGCCTCTCTTCCCTGTCTGGTAAAGGCATGATACACCTTTGGGCAAGGAAGGAGCAAGCTCCCAGGCAGGCTCAGTTCTGCTGATGGAGGTGCAGTCATCAGTTCTGGGCTTCTCAGGAAACCCTGTGGACTCCCTCCCTTTGGCCGCACCCAAGATGCAGTGGCTGTATTTAACCCATTCCTCCCCAACATCTTCTTGCCGAAATTGCCCAGGCACTACTTTCCTAGCTTCTATTTGTTTCAAGTGGGTGAAACCTGCACCACCAGAATAATCCCACCTATTTGGGGGTAAGATGCTACCCTTCCAAAGGGTAGCCAGTGCCTATCTGAGCTCCTAAAGGATTAGTGAAGCAGTGTAGGTATCACAGGAGAGGAGACCAGAGAGGGGCTCAGTCTGAGGAGCACACAGATCACAAGCTTTGTCCACAAGAGGCAGAGCCATCGTCCTGCCCTGGAGGTTTTTCTCCCAGGCACTCGAAATCAATTGGCTTTCTTTAACAAACTAAAAGATGACATTACCAGAAGCTTAGCCTGCAGGGTTGAACTCTTTATTTTTATTCTCCTTGAAAAATATAACACCAATCTACGTCACACATGCATTCCAGGGTTTCTTACTTGAGACATGAAGTAATTTAGTACCCGGTTTCTGGGCTAATGAAAACCTATTCCAGGCTAGCAGCACAGGCCAAAACAAATGCTTGAATTCAAGTCCTGTTGTGTAATGAGGAAGTTTAATTAAGGCCCCACATTACAGCTGTAAATGTTCCTTTATATAATAAGGTCTAAATGAAACTGAACCTAATCAAAGTTACAATTCCTTCATTAGCAAATTACAAACAAGAGTGCACAGCTGACACACCGGCTATGATTATCACAACTAATTGCCTCGTTGTTACAAACCAGCCTGAAACAGTGTTCAGATGTCCGTCTGCAAGAGCAAATTAGGGCCACGTCGGGCTGTTCCTGTGATCACAAGGGGCTCTTGTACGGCGATCTGAGTTACCCCTGTCGACCGGCGGCCAGCGGCCCAATCAAAGCTGTGCTACAAAGGCAGCCTTTGAAGCCGCTCAGCCTGGAAACACACTCCATATGCAGGCGGGCAGACCGCACTTCATTAGGTCTGTTGTCACCGTTCCCTCTTCTCATTCTAATGATCCCATTTTAATACACACAGGAACCTCTGCTAATTGATGTCAAGTGAGAGACTTCTACATTCATCAACAGAGCACATCAGACAGACCTTGGCGCGCGAGCCAGCAGCATCTCCAGGAAGACCTGAGGTGTATCTCTGGCTACAGGGAGAGGAGGACGGGGATGAAGCGTACCTGTTTAATTGGGATGGCTCGGCCGCTCCCGATGCTGTCCGCCCGACTCTCCAGGCCTTTCTTCTCTTTGTCTGGGTCACTCCCTTTTCGAGACTGCAAGGCAAAAGGAAAGTTGGCATTTGGGTAAGGGTTGCAGTTCATAGGCGGGCCTCTGCCCCTGTTTGCACAACTCCTGTCAATACACATTTAGAAACCACGTATGATATATGTGTGTGCATACATATACAGACACGTCCCACAAGTAGACTGCTAAGTAGCTTGTCTCCACTGACTCATCATCTTAAAGAGAATCTGCTAAACTTTCCCCATGACTTTTCCACTGCAAAATTATATTTTAATTCTTTTTAAAGAGTTCAAAATTCAATTACTATAAACCAATGGACCATATAGGAAAGTAACGCCCAACAGGAAAACACATTCTGGTGCTGCAGTTAATATAGTCAAGGAAGAAAGGGTGCTTCGATGTTTATTTGGAAAACCTGCTACATAAATGTATACATTTAATTAATGTCTGAATGACTCAAAAAATTCTATTAGCTAGTCAGCTGTGCAACTTAACGGTACACCCTTGATTAGTATCAAAGAGCAGTTAATGTTTCCTTTTATTGCTTCTGGATGGTTAGAAAATGGCAAGTTCAAAGTTAAACTAGTGTATGAGACCACAAAAAGTAATAAAGGGAAAATAACTGCAAATATCCTTTTTTGACAAAATGTCAGTGTTTGGGAAATAATGAGCCATTTTGTTTGCCAAGTTCCTGAAACAATTATCTTGGATGTATTGCTGACACTGCAAAATACCCAGTAGCTGGCGACTGTCAGGAAGGGTGATGATGTTCAATCCAGGAAAGCCCCAACCAAAAGCGCACCTTGACTTGGGGAAAACTGAAGGAGCTCCACTATCTTAGTCTCCATCTCTTGATGGCATGAGCAAGTGTGAGCACAATGATTTTCTGACAGATTTATTTTATTATGAGAGAAAGATCTGAGACTCGTCCTCCTTAATAACTGTGCTGACAAGTGACAACTTCACTCCATTACTTTTCAATGGGAACATTACTCACGCAATATTGAAAATGGAGAAACATTTTCATGTGCTTTTCAAATCTGAGATGATATATGAAATGAACAGACTTTGTGGTGTCCAGTGCTACAATGAAAAGCTAATGAAATCCAGGTTCAAAGGGATGTGAGATAGAGCAGCTGTTTCATTTTGTTTCACTGTTTTTTAATATTAAAAGGAGCAATGCCATAAAAACAAAGGCTGATGGGACAAATTTAGGATTCTAGAAGAGGCTGCCGCCAAAGTTAAGGAGTACAAGGAGAAAAGTACCCATGATATAAATGCAGATCTAGCACTTCAAAGGATGTTACTCTCCTGAGTCAGTGTGTTCATTAGGAAACATGCTTCTTAGATGGTGACAGGAGCTAACGCTAACTGAACACCTACTATGTGCCAGGCACTGTGTGCCTTTTTCCTTTAGTATGGTAGAAGCCTAGCATGAGATGACAGGAAATAAGCAAAAAATAGAAAGTTGCAGAAGAATATAAAAAATAAAGCTTAGCCCTTTTAGCTAGAAGGGAAATAGAGATGTTTATCAATTCCTTGTCAATTGTAGGCTAATTTTCCCACTTTAATTAATTCTTAATCATATATAGTAAGAGCTACACAATACCTTGAATTCTCTTTTCCTCACATCTCAATTATGAGAAAAATAGTACTTGAGAGTTCTAGTCGCAAATACATTCCAAATACATTCCAAAGCTCACAGCAGTAACATTAAAAAAAAAGTTTTAAAATCAACAACAAATAATCAAAATACTTTGGGGATTTTACAGGTTCTAAGTTTCTAAATTTGGGAATTCATCTTCATTATTCTCTATTAACCAGGATAATTAACAAAACAAACATTTAAAAAAATTAACATCTTCCTCAAGGGAGCACATCTGTCCCCACAGCCACTCTGTTCTCGGAGCAGAATTTCAGATTCCACCGAAAGTGGGAAGAAATGGTCAATTACATTGCTGAAAACACCTTGGAAGATGAATTTTGAAGAACTAACCTCAATATCTGACCACACACTCTGCGATAAGTGAGATTAAAACTTAGGTAAGACTTCATTGAAGAAAATAAAACAAAAATTTTCTGACAAATGTTTTAATTTAGTGGAGAGAGTCATATAACCAAAGTGTAAAAGAAAGAGCAGCGGCAAACTGCCAGACGAAAGGGCTTGCTGTACCTCAGCCCCACAATTACTTTGTCTACTACAGGCTGTATCAATAAAATTGAAATCCAACAACTAGACTGAAACAAATCTACTGGACATAAAACACTGCATCACATATCAATTCTCAGTAAAGTCTCCTTGTTTTTCTGTCAACTTTGGAGACTTTATCACTAACAGGACATCCTTCTGTTCCTGCTGAAATGGCTCACTGGATACAAAGCAGCCCTCAGGACCCACTGTGTGTGTGTGTGTCAGGAGTCAGTGTCCACTGCATCCAGCCTGCCACACACTACTAGAAACAGAACAAGAGTTGATCACACCCATCACAGAAGGATCAGACATTTAAAATCAATGCACAGCAAGCTATAATAGTAACTGATTAGCCTCTAATCACTGAATATGGAGGTAAAGATAGGTTAACAAAGTCTAATTATAACCTGCTTCTTTACAAAAATGTTTAACTTCTTCCCAAGTGATGAAAGGAGCCATAAGGGACAATTCCACCAACTACCTGCTTACAGGGACAGGAGCACACTGCTAAGAGCCTGCAGTATCAAACAGAAATCTGCTTTTTCCCTTTTAACCAATGGCTAAGTCAAAGGCTGCTGCAACATATTATGAGAGACACTCAGATGTTCCTTTTCTACAAAAAAAAAAAAAAAAAAAATGCCATTCAAGCAATTCTATTTACATTTACATTATACATTCTGCTGCCTTATTTTTTACAGTGAGTTTCTATGAGTTGAGCAATATTTATTCAAAATCTTTGGTTCCTGAGTATGCTTGGCTCTGTTTAATGGTATCAGCATTAAAAAAAAAAAATCACGTAAATGACAATTGTTATTACAAAGCTTGGAAACAGGCAAAGCAATGTAATGTACAATTTAAGGATACATAATAGGGTAAGTTAAAACATGGATGGATATGGATAATATACCCTAAATTCAGGTTACTGTCAATCCCTGGGCAGAGAGGCAGGAGAATGTATTCAGGAGGCACACACAGAGGAATGCAACTTTTACTTATGACTTGCTTATTTCTTGAAGAAGCAGTCACAGCAGCAACGTGGAAGAAAAACGCTTGTATTTGTATTTTTCCTCTCGTGTTTGTGTGTTCCTCTCTTAAGTTTGGGTATGTGGCAATAGACTATGGACTCTAATCCTATGATTTCCAAGTATGATACTCGGCTGACTGGTTATGTGGGTCCCTGACTCTTATTCTCTCACGATATGTGTGGTACTTTCTGCAGTCTAGTTATGTGTAAATAGATTTTGGATTCTTATCTCCTCATCTAGACATGTGGTACTCTGCATGGTGAGTACACATGTGTTTTATTTTTCAGTATGTTTGAAAATATTTTCTAATAAAATATATTAACCACACATACACTGGGACTACTAAGCTAAATTAATTGTCCTAAAAACCCAAATTACAAAACTATGGTAGAAGCCTAGCATGAAATGACAGGAAATAAGCAAAAAATAGAAAGGTGCAGAAGAATATAAAATATAAAGCTTAACCCTTTTAGCTAGAAGGGAAATAAGGATATTAATCAATTCCTTGTCAACTGTAGGGTAATTTTTCCTCTTTAATTAATTCTTAATAATGTATAGTAAGAGCTACACAATACCTTGAATTCTCTTCTCCTCATATTGCAATTATGAGAAAGATAGTACTTGAGAGTCCTAGTCACAAATACATTCCAAAGTTCACAGTGGTAATATTTTTCAAAAGTTTTAAAATCAACAACAAATAATCAAAATACTTTGGGAATTTTACAGGTTCTAAATCTCTAAATTTGTGAATCCGTCTTCATTATTCTCTATTAAACAGGATAATTAACAAAACAAACATTTTTTAAAAATTAACATCCTCCTCAAGGTCTTTTTAGATTTGTTTCCTCAAAAAAATGATTTTTCAATGAAATAAGTAAAATAAGACATAGTTTAACTTTGGATTAGTAAAGGATAATTTTTTTTTTTTGAGTTGGAGTCTCACTCTGTCGCCCAGACTGGAGTGCAGTGGCCGCTCCCGGCCACCGCAGCCTCGACCTGCTGGGCTCCGGCGATCCTTCCGCCTCAGCCTTCCAAGTAGCCGGAATTATAGGCATGCACTACCACGCCCAGCTGATTTTTTGATTTATGGTAGAGATGAGGTCTCGCTGCCCAGGCGGATCTCGAACCCGCGGGCTCAGGCAATCCACTCACCTCAGCCTCCCAAAGGCGTGGGATTACAGGCTGAGCCACCAAGCCCGGCTTGTAAAGGATAATTTTTACTACAAATATAACACATGATTCATTACTATTACAGATATTTTGTTGGTACTTTTTTTTTAAGTGCATGTGATTTATTTTTGTTTAAAATTTGTATATATGCAAAAAAAAAAAAAATCCTGGAAGTACAAAACATTAGTCAGGAGTGGTACATTACAGATCTGCTTTATAAAATGTTTAAGAATGGTATTTGAAAAATGACATGTGTACTACTTAATTAGCTATGGCCTTTTTCTGATGGTCTAATAAACAAGGTGGATCGTGCCCCTCCATTTGGGTGTTACAAACCCCAGTCTGCATATATTTTATTTACTAAGACTGTCCACAGACAGTATATCTGTCCTCCCACTGGACACTTTTAAATAAATACACATTTTGACAATTTAGGCCAATAACCACCAACAAGTGCTGGGAATATTTAAGAATAGAAGCAAATTGGTAACAACACAAATTTAATTTCTTAATTTTTATGATTTCAAAATTAATTTGCCTTCCTTTTGTTCCTTGGATGACACTGACATCTAGTGGAGTTAATATTTCCAAGGTCTTCAACTTAAAAATATACCTCCTGCATCAGCAGCAGCAGCATCACCAATACCACCACCACCACCACCACCACCACCACTATCATCATCATTTCGTTCAATGTCAAGTTCAGTAACGACCAACATATAGGTCCCCGCCTGGGATTTTAGCTTTCTTTTCCTTAAGTGCCATGATGCAAACCTGTTATGATGTTAGGTTCTTTCCACATTACTGTTTCCACTAATACCAGCTGAGCAGCTTGATTCAATTTCTGACATGGTTTACTATCAAGTTATTTTCCAAGGAGAAAGGAGAAAGAGAACAACATTGACAACACACAGGTTCATAGGTAGGCCATTATGTTATAAGAAACATTAATGGTGACATAATTAATGGTAATTTTCAGCCACCATAACAAAGAGTTCACCTGCTCTGCCCGAACAACGGTGTCTTCCTGGCCTCTGCGTGGCCCTGTGTGTCTATGGCTTGAATCAGATCTAAGAGGGCCTTAATCTCTCAGCATTCTCCTCTCCTCCTGGTACACAAAGTCCCCTCTCCCTTCACTCTAAACCATGTTTCTTTTGAACTTGGGTTCATTCTGACAACAAGTTTTCCTCATAGACACAGAGCAAAAACCAGGGCTCTGCAGAGAACACATGTTAAGTAAATATTTATTAACTGAGTAATTAGTTTGATTCTCTCTGCTTTAAAGTGGTCTCCTTTGTAACCCACCTGGGTTATCAATAACCTAGTAGGCTGGGTCTAGGACACTATTTTCTGGCAAATTCCAACTCTAGAGCTTCTAAAGGGTGAGGATGGGGATGTGCTGGTGGTCTCCTTATATAAAATACTTTAAAGATACTTCTTGCTTTTTACATTTCTTTCCCTAGAATAGAAACCAAAGTCAATGAGTAGAAAATGTGGCCTTGGACAATGTCTGAGACTGGGTGATCTCCCTCTGCCACTCCCTTAATGGGTAGCCAAGATACAGAAGAAATTTTCATCTACCATGTTAACAAACCTTCCCTCCTCCCACCGTGCTGGTAGACTGCTTACTGTCCACCCTCTCTGAACCCAGCTGCATCTCTGGCGATTGGTTTCTCAAGCCCATTGAGTCACCGCGTAGCCTGTTCTGTGAGGTGACACTTCAACCAAAAGACCCCCAACCTGGATGTAGAGAAGGGCTACAAGTGTTTGATAGAATCAGGAAGTAGCTGTTTTAGGAGGCTGCTTTTATTTTGTGTCTGAAGAAATTTCATAAGATATCTTATTCATGTATAAATTTACACAACAGATATTCACCTGTATTTTGCAGAAACATAAATACCTACCGATGAAGTTTGCTTAACACTATCAGAAATCATTTCCATGACATCAACAGTAGGGAGAAAATATGGAAGCAATGCTGCCAAGTCTCTTCTGCCCCCTACAGGAACCTTACCAGCAGCCTCACTGCAGAAGCACTGTTATTTCCAGCTCAGAGAGGTCAAGTAACTTCCTAAGGTCAAACAGCCATCAGCAGGGGAGGCCAGGATCTGAGCCTGGTGTGTCTGATCAGTTCTTACTCTGCTGCCCAGCAGCACTATCTGTGGGAGCTGATGTGGCACAAGACATTAGGCAAGAAAAGGAGAGGGTGAGGAGGAGGGGACTGTTCTGTCACCATAGGCCTCGCAGTAATGACCACTCAATGGGAGACTGCTAAAAACATGGCAGGACGGGGAAGGAGGACCTATCGGACAAGAAGCCCAACATCCAGAGGGCCATCATCCAACAGGGGCAGGGGATCAGATAAAACACTACCAGCCATACCATCAGAGTCCTTTTTTAGCTCAAGATAGGAAATACTAACTTCCTTACGTCTAAGTCAGCAGTAATCAACCCAAAAGATAAGCTGAATGTTTTGTAACAGGGTACCTTTGGGACTGGATAATTCTTTGTTGTGAAGGGCCGACCTGTGCATTGTAGGAAGTTTAGCACCACCCCTAGTTGCTACCCATGACTAGTGCCTGCAATACCTTACCCGTCCACCCCCATCCTCCTATTGTGATTGACCAAAATTTCTGCAGAAATTGCCAAAAATGCAAAACCACCCTGATTGAGTACCACTGTTTAAAAACATATGCTTGTAATGCAAAGAGCTAGTCCAGGGAAGGAAAGTGTTCTTCTCAAGTCAAAAGACTTGTCACACACACCCAAAGCTCTGCCTGGAGTTCTGAGCTCAACTGTAACAACTCTGTGATTGATTGGTGATGTCTGTTGTACATAAAGGAAGGGACATGGTAGTAGCACTTTGCTTCCTCTGTAGTTCAGGGACACTATGCATCTTAATTGTCCAGAGAACTTTTAAAAATGACACATGCCTGGTCCACATCTACAGATTCAGAGTTTCCAAGTTTGAGCCCAGATTTCTGATCTTATTTTAAAATGCTCCACAGATGACTCTGAGGAAAACCCAAGTGGACAGCCTTTATGCCAATAAGTCTCCAGGAAGCACTTGAGGCTTGTGGTGCTGAAGGCCACACCTATCTCCCCATGTTACCTCCACTCCCTGAGGGTGGTCCTCAGGCCTCCCAGCATGAGGAGAAGAGGACCTGTGGATTGTAATGGCTGATATATTTCATCTGAAGGATTAGATACACACATTTGGGAATTGTGGCAATTTTGTCACCTCTTCATATCCAACATGACATGGCTTTAGAGACCACACAAGTCACAAAATAATAAATATCTTCATACACACCCCTCACTCTTCATTTCTGACACATGTATCTGTACTTGTCCACACTGAGAAATTTCCACTCTACTCAATATCTAAATCTTTGCTTCTTGTAATTTTCTTAGACTTGCACAGAAATCAATGCTATTCACATGACTATAGTTTGGATTCTACCAATAACATCCAACCATCTGGCAACCAGGATTATATGAATGGAAGCTCTTCAGCAACACGCTCAAGTCTCCACCCACAGTTGATACTCACGGTGAAAAGGTTGGACCGGCGCTTGGACTGCTTACGAACGGGTGTCGGCGTGTTGGCAGTGGGTGGAACATCAATCCGAAGTTCCTTCTGGCTGGTGCTGGGAGTTGATGGAACAGAGGACGAGTAGTCGCTTAAACTCCCTCCTCCGTTACTTGTCTAAAATGATTAAAAACCAAGGTCTTATTAATGACACACTCTGGGAACATAAGGACTTCACATAAACGGGGTCATAACCAATAAGTTAGCAAGTCACACTGAAGAGACACATGCAAGACAGACTGGATGTCCTCTCTTGGTATTAAGTATGCATGGTCTCATTCTAGTGCACACAGATCATCTCATATTGTTGTTCTAAGAAAAGTGACTTAAGGAAAAGAAGTCTCTAACATTTAACTTAAAGATTTTTGAGAGTTGAAAAGTAGTTATTTCCTATTTCCTCTAAAAATGAAGGAGTTGGTTAAACTAAATGGATTCTGTGGTTTCTTTACTGCTCTAGATCAGATGCTGAGAGGACTGGTTTCGCTTAGTAGAACCATAACTCACATTCTGAAAATGACACCTTGAAAATCTAAGTGCTTTTGGAAAATATTTCAAGATTCACAGAAACAATCTCGACTGTACCTTTAAAGGCTCTGACAATACATTCTAAGTTTACTGACTTTCCAAGCAAATTGAAAGCATGATACCAAATCTTTTCACTGTACCCTAAAAAAAAGGTGCCAGTAGAATACCTGCCCCAGAAATGTAATTAAAAAACAAGCAGAGGCAGAACAAAGCCAGTTCTTTCCCTTAACAAGCTTTTCATTGGGTTCTTCAAAGTGACAATTATTTCATTTGCTTCCAAGTAAATAATTTAGCAAAATGTTACAGAAAGATAGCAGTTTCTATAGGACCTAAGGGGGATGCTAATTATAATTGAATGCCATTACCAATCTTGGCATATAGAGGGACTAGCCATTAAGATTTACTCACATCAGTTCAGCCTATAAGCAGACGAGGACCAGGACTAGAGCAGGGTGACTTAAATCAACAGTGAGGACTAAGGTACACGCCTGGCATCACCACCCATGCCAGCATGCCTCATAATACAGGCAGCAGGGGGACCGAAAATATTAAAGAATGATTCCCATAAAAACCACTTGGCCACAGCAGTTTCTGAAGGAAACATTAAGTCAATTACAACATGCTGTTATTTATAAAGTTGAAAAGAAAAAAAAAGACATCAACCTTAGCATTGGCTGTGAATACTACCTGTACATTCTCTTTGGTTCTAACATGCCTTTCAGTCCAAGTTCCCATGCCGCCCAACAACATACCTGGCTTATGTGCACAGCAGACACCTGTGCGGAGCAGACAGAGGAATGGCTTGGAGAATTGGGTAGTGACTTGCAGGGTCCAATGGACAGCTGCTGCTTCTTCCTTGTGGCAACAATCTTCTGGGCAACTGATAGACACAGAGATCAAAGAAATCAACATGAATCAATTTCCCAGAGCCTCTTTCAATCCCCTGCCCCCACCCCAGCTAAATGTGGCCAAAGCAAGCTCTGGCCAATGGAGTAAGAGGAGAAGGATCATGTAACAGTTTTCAGAAATCTTCCTTGAGAGCGTGCTCTTGACCCATTTCTTCTTTGTGACTTTTTCCCACTTGCTGCCTAAATTGCACATATGTTGTCTGTAGCCCCAGCAACCATCTTGGACCATGAGGTAACGTTGAGAATGGAAGCCACACTTGGTGAAGCCACATAGAAGGCGAAAAAAGCTGGTCCCTGACTCCACAGAAGGCCTCAGTCCTGCTCAGACCATCTCAAAGGAATGTGAACCAAAAAGTACACACTTGTCTCATTTAAATTATTCTAATGAAGCAATTTTTCTTCCAGTGACGTGTAGCAAAAATAATCCTAAATATAAAACAGGGCAATTTAACCAAGCCCTTCTGAAAGTCAGAAATATCTGCCTGCAAAGCCTAAAGAATTACTCTTTTCTACAAGTTATCATGTGGAATTATATTCAAGGACATGTAATTATATCAAAGACCTTTTTTTATTTAAATATATTACTATACGCATTCGAAGTTTATCTTAATCAATACAAATCTAAATTCAACCAGCCATAACTTCTCTTGGCAAATAAGCTCGCTGATAAAGCATACTGAATTTAATTGGAAAGGAAGTCAACGATTAGAAAACTCTTCCTACACCAATAGGTGTCACTACAGCAGAATAGCTACAGTTTTTATTTGAATAGATGCATGTCTTTGGGGACTAGCTGTAATTAAGTTCAGTGATATTCAATCCTTGTCTTTGTCTAGATGGTTGCTATTTTCAAAGATGCCCATGCACAGGAAGACGTCATCACTCCCCAGCAATAGGTTACAGCAGAGAAGGAGCCCACAGAGTGTTTACAGATGATTTCTTTTTCAAATGAATACAATTTTAATAAGGAACTGGTTTGTCCACAGTGTATGGTTTTCATGTAAATGAATGATAGTATAAATATGATTAAGTGAAAATGCAATATATAAAAAATGGCTCCCAGAGATGAAGAAGCAGCTTCATTAGTTATATCCCACCTCCAATAGGCCTCTTATCATCCTGAAAGGATGATATCAATTAATTTATCTTCCCGTAGTGTATTGATCATAACCTTCATCAGCTAATCATGTTTAAATTACAGAGGAAAATCGTAGCACTCTGTCATTTCAAAGCCATTGGCATATTGATCTGGGGTCTTTGAAGACATATATTAGAATATCTTAAAAATCATTATGTGAACTCAAAAATAAAACCTAAGATCAGATTCCAAGAGCTGTAAACCTTGTGTCATATAAGTGTACTAAAATTCAGAAGACCAAAAGTAAATCAACTAAAAATCACAATTGCCTAAGTGATTGCAATTTATTCCTATTTTTCTCTTGAAAAATAGCAGAAAGCAGTTTGTGATGATCAACTACACTGCATTTTGATTTTGCTCCCAGCCTCAGAGTTACTATTCAGCTGGATGACCACATTGACTTCAAACTCATAAGAAACACACAAATGTCAGAATTAAATAAGACTAGGATGCTAACTTTGAGAGCTTTGTAGACATTTTCTATAAATGCTTTCCACGCTAAGGGAAGATTTGAGAAACTTACTAAGACAAGTCAAATATGTTATTAAAACCCTCATTTTATGAAACTTCAAATGCAAGTGAATGTTCCATCCTTCCTACCTGAGGCTAGAAAAAGCACATTCATGAGTAAAGTGAATATTTTTACAGTAAAGTCTCACATCAAACTATGGACAGGAAGTACAGAGTAGGAACCACATGTTCATGGCCACAATTCTTCCACCCACTTAATTATCATTCTATCACATTAATTATCAAAAAAATAAAGACACAATAGCCAATAACTGGTAGCACCTTCTTTTAACTTCACTGCTTATTTTTCACCCATACCTGTCCTATTTCCCCTCTACCATCAATTTTTAAATCCTTCCTACTTCCACATACAAATGAAGGAAAGAAATTTATAAATATTTTGTTTGTAAGTACATAGACTGTTTTAGAACTACAGGGTAACCCATAAGAAAAAAGGAAAGTCTATTTAACAAAGAACAAATAGTATCTGACTTAAGAGAACGACACAAAGGAGAAGGGGAAGGACTGTTCTGTAAGGTCTGCCATTTCCTCCTCACTGTGAAAATGGAAATCTACTGCAGGTTCACTACTCTGTAACAGTCACACGTGTGCTATGGTTGTTGTCATTACTTGCTTTACATCCCAAGGAGTGGCATCTCTGGGCACTCCACTTACAGACATCTCTACCGCGCCTTGGGAGGCTGAGGTGTGTGGATTGCCTGAGCCCGCGGTTTCAAGACCCGCCTGGGCAACTTGGCGAGACCTCATCTCTACAATAAATTAAAAATTAGCCGGGTGTGGTAGGGTGTGCCTGTAGTTCCAGCTACTTGGAAGGCTGAGGCGGAAGGATCACCAGAGCCCAGCAGGGCGAGGCTGCGGTGGCCCGGAGCGGTCACTGCTCTCCAGTCTGGGTGACAGAGCGAGTCTCCGACTCAAAAAAAAAAGACATCTCAATAAGTGAATTGTTTGGGAGGGTAAAAGCTAATGCGACAACTGCCATTCAAGACAGTGCTGTGACCTATCTTCACATGACTGCGTGAAAGTCTGGGTGAATTCATAAGAGTCCCTGAACAGGAACACTGGGAACAGGAACACTGGGAAGGTATGTAAGGGGATGAGACCTCCCTCCCTAAAAACAACCCAAAGGAAATGGAACATCATGGGAAGGGAGGAAGTGGTTTTTCTGTAAACATAATCATTAATTACTCATGATACTTAGAATATTTAAATTCAAGTATTTAACATTTATTTAAATGCTAATAGCTTTAAACAATATTACCTCAGACTATGCTGGCTAGGCAGTTTTTATAACCACTGAGTTTCTGTCTGTATTTGATCATTCAATAAATGAACCTGCTACATATTTTATACAAGCATGTGGATTTATGTCTATATATGCATATATAAATACATATGTATTAAGCATACATGTTTAATGTAAATGTGTATATCAGAAAAACACCTGAACTTGTTTAAAAGAATATGGAACTTCTATTGTTGAGACCGGCGATTTTCTCAAATTTGGTGACATACTTGACTATGAATCTGCCACATGAGCTACTCATGAATCTAAAATGGTGTCGCCAATAGGTCCTGAACATGTTTACTCTTTTACCACTGATTTACTTACCTTCATGATAGTTCAACAGTAATGTTCTGTGTTGTTTAAAAGGCGCTTCCTCTACAATTTAAGAATTGTATTTGGATAACAGATAAAAGGTATCCTTTAATCAGTCCCTTGAATTGCGTTATAATTATAAATATAATCATGCTGTATACAGCTCAAAAGCAAGCAAGCCCAACCATTGGGGTCAGAAGTGAGAAGGAGGCCCATCTTTAGGTAGCAAGGTAGGCTGGTGCCTGAAGGACACGAGGAGCTTCTGGGGGCTAGAAATGAACCCTCCTGACCCGGGGATGATTCTGTCATAATTTTTTAAGCCCATTCATTTTCATGGATGTTTTCCAATTCTTCTATCAAAAGAAACAGCAAGAAAAGTGAATTTAAAGCTTTCCACTCTACAGAAGATAAATGCTACCTTTTAATTAGTGGTTAAAAATAAGACTCTCAGCTCCCAAATAAGGCTTCGTTCAATCCTGACATAATGCTGAATTTCTACCTCCATGCTGTTTCTAAATCACACTAAATGAGGAAAACAACAGCTTCTGGTCATACCAAAAATGTCCAGGCCAGACGCATACCTCCTGAGCTAGGTGGTATGGGCTGGGCCGGGCGGTCTAAGCTTCTCATCTACTAATTCATCTAATCCTCTCAGTTCTTTCACTCCGCAGATAAGAAAAACAAGGCAGTGAGGCCGCCAGTGCAGTTGGTCAGCTCCCTGACTGGTCACAATACCACCAGGTTGCAGTGAAACACCCAATCTTCCTGCCAGTACCCCCTGCCTGGACTATTCTGGTTCCAGGGCAGGATCATATGTTCTTCTACCCTGTATCCCTACTTTTCCTCAATTTCTAAATTTTATTTTTATAATTGATGAAAAGGACTGAGTGTGGTGACTGGCACAAAGGAGATGCTCACCAAGGCTGCCCCAATCAAAATGTGTGTCAAACAACATTTCCCAGCCAGCCTTCTTGAAAGCAAGTAGATGCTGCCTGTTCTCTGTGACTTCCACAACCTGGCTTCTGCCACTGCCCCCTGGGTTGAGCCTGCCATTGCTTGGTCACTGGAAACTGCCTGACAGCCAAGTTGCATGTTACTTGACCTCTGGGCAGCATTTGGTGTTACAGATCAGTCCTCCTTTCCTCTTTCTCATCTTCCATGATCCCTGACTTCCCTGGTTTTCTCCTCTGGCTGGAACTTCTCTTTTTCATCCTCCTTTGCTGGCTCTTGAAGCGTTGGGGTTGCCCAGGCAGTCTTTTTTTTTTGCCCTCTTTTATCCCATACTCTCTCCCTGGGCCACTTTCTCCACATGAATGTCAGTCACCACCTCAATGCCAAGGGCTCCCAGCATCACTATAAAGAGCCCTGCCTCACATCCTGTATTCTGGAATTATGTATCCAACAGCTCACTCAGTATCTCCCTTGGACATGTCAGAGGCATTTCTGAGTCTATGTTCCCAGCTTAACTCTCCTTGCTTCTCCTCTATTTTCTAGCTCAGTCAATGGTACAACACACCCCTCAGGCATGGAGAGAAGAGATCTAACAGATTAATTCTACCATAAGTCACAAATTGGCTCATGCCTATAATTCCAGCACTTTGGAAGGACAAGGTAGGAGGATTTCTTGAGGCCGGGAATTTGCAATCAACCTGGGCAACATAGAGAGAGACACTGTCTCTATCCCCCACCCCAAGAAAATAAAAGCT